ATATATATATATATATATATATATATATATATATATATATATATATATATATATATATATATACAGAGAGCACACTTGGGATGGAAACGCATTCTATGCGTCGGGGAAGTGCTGAGTCGCCGCTCTCTCTATGTTGGCCATGTTATTGAACCCGACGGCAGCAAAGTTGTCTACCGCCGAAATTTGGTGGAGCGGTGGCGTTCGAACCAAAGATCGTACAGTCTAACTGCATTCGCTGATTCACAGAACTTCCACGAAGTATATGAACCAATGCATATAGTTGTACCTGCAAACTTCTGGTAGCGTTAGGGTCTATACCAGTTTAGACAATTCGTTCAAAATCAGCAACGGTGCTCGTCAAGAGTGCCCTATTTGGCCATTCCTATTCAATTATGTCGTTGACGAAATATTGGAGAATGCATCAGGTGGTTTCAAATGTTCGTATTGAATGGACAGCTGGAGAAAAGCTATGCGACTTTTATCCGTTCAAAGGCATGGACGGTGTGAAAAACGCTCTTGACAGACTTTCAAGTTCTGTCGCCCCATTTGATATGCGCTTTACACTATCAAAGTGCAAGATGATGCTACAACACTGGGTGTCGTCTATCCCGACAGTGATGTTACGTAGGTAGTTACGTGCAAATGGTAGTATCATAATAATGAAATAATCGCCCGCACTTCCAAGGAGCGAGCAAAATGTCCAGAACTGAAAAACCGTTGGTGCTGACGTGATGTTTCTTTGAAAGTTAAAGGTCGTTTACTTTGCGTCACTGTGTGTTCAGTTCTACTTTGCAGTAGTGAGACACCAAATTGTGTAGAATACGTCTAGAAATATTCACCTTACGATGCTTGCATAGCTTGACTCACGTGGGATGGAACGAAAGTGTGATCAACAGTAATGCCAGTCAACAAGTATTTGGGAATGAATCAGTTGAAAACTCGTTGCTGCATAGGGTTCACACTGGTCAGCTTCATTGGCTAGAGCACGTACTACTCTTGTTTACCGAACTGCGCTTTATTTTCAGTTGCTGCTCCAGACTGGAAGAAACCATGAGATCAACAGGTGACGTAAAAATGAGGCATGAAGTAACGCACGGGGTGATTACGTAGAATAGGTGCATCCTGACTTTCTGTTTGGAGTCCAAAAGACCAACTGATTATATAGAGACTGATAGATGAGGCAAATAACCGACAGCAGTCTCGTTCTTGTCGCTTATCACATGATAATGCTTAAAAATGCCTGCACGCACGGTTTGGTTGTGCACTGTCTGTCGATCCTACAGGTTCGCTTTACCTGCCTCCAACTAGGCTCATTTCTTGTCCATATTGTGCCCACTTGGTGTACACCGGACTTCTCAGCGTTGGGTGAGTTTCTTTTCACCGTTTCTTGCTGTTCAACGATGAGAAAAGTTTCCAAAGCACGCCTGTAACAGCGTCTTGAACTGGAGCTGCTGACTGAATCTAATTGTCGCGTAGCGTTGTCTCCAAACAGGCTTTCTAACATGATATGGCAGCCGACACGGCATACCATCCCAAGTATGAATCAATTTCACATTGGATGAACCACTCACTGAGATAATACAACGAAAGTCTTACTTGGAACCGGGTTGTGATCTATGGTTGTTTGGAAATTACCTTGAAGGTGAGATTCTATTCCGATGCAATATGGCATTCCTTTTAAGACGTTTTGTTCGTGGGAGTCGACCGTCGTGGAAGACGGACTGACTTATTTCGCATGGTGCCATTTGTGACCTCTTTTGAATCAGGGAATAATAGGCAAAGCATGAATG